GGGGGGGGGGGGGGGGGGGGGGACCTGGGTGTAAAGGTATGCAAAAGCAGCAGTAGTATTATTTATGAGATATACCAAATATGTATCAAACATACTTGAGACTTTTGAAATAGCAAATATGTATGCAACATACTTGAAAATTAATAAAAAGAAAACTAAAATGATAAAGATAAAAATATATTTAAGTACTATGCAAAGGAAATGTCTTTCTGAGAACAGTAGCATCTTTGGTTCAGATTGGTGGGATAGAATAGAGATAGCTCTAATACCAGTTCACTTCACTGTGATGTGTTTGTATTAGTTAAGTTTAAAATTGTGTTCCTTGGCAAACCATAAAAGATTTCAAAAGTATTAGACACCCACTTTTGTGCTGGAATTTAATATGCAACTTTTTATTGGAAAATAATCGTCCTTGTCTGGCAAAATCCACCATGCAATATTTCTGTTAGTAGGCATAATGCAATAAAGACAGGGAGGGCTATTTATCACTACAAATTTTGAGGATTTCAGGATTCTTTTTATTATTTTAATATATTTCTTTGGTATTAAATCAGAAAAATGATAAATTACACCTGTCGAGGCTGTTTTTCCTTTTTTGCTGGAAAATGATGTACAACCCAATTTCACTGGTCATTTTGGCTTTTAAAGATATGTATTTTTTCTTATAAAAACTGTACCAATAGGGTTTTTTTAAATAATAATGCTGAAGTACTTTTTATTTCAAACATATGAAGTGGTTTATAACTAGTTCCTGGCATTGCAAACTTTGGCCTTTTCACACCGTATTATTTTTTTTAAAAAGGTTTGAATATACATTGCTTAGAAAGAAACAAGTATGTTTTAAGAGACTGGATCTAGTGGGTCAATTTTCAGTGTATAATATAAGTTAAATTTGATTGGGTTGAAAGGTTAAAAAATGTGTTTAATTTTCACACTTGTCCAGTATTTAAGTCATTCAGTGAGTCGGTGTTTGCATGTTCTTAGAAATTGGATTTATGTTTGTATTATGTCATCATTTCTCAAGAGTCTCTTAGAATTAAAAGACAAATCATAATTCTACTAAGCATTCTATATAGCAGCCAAAAGAAAAAAAAACTGACATTTTTAACAACAAAAGGAAACACAAGATTTGTACTAGTGTCATATTTTACATCATTTTAACAATTATTCCATGTTTGCATATTTAGAAATATATTATCCCAATTTGATTTTAAAGCTCAGTTATTTGAATTATAAATCATTATGTCCCTTCTAGCTGGTCAGTCATGAAATATCTCTGAATTCATTTACATAATGGAACATGTTAGTGGTTCCTTTATACCAGTACAATCATAGTGTTCCCTCATGGATGTGCTTTCTAATAATTAACTTTTTCTGTGTAGATTATCTATAACAAAATAATTATATTTTCATTGTTATTCTATAAAGCAGCTTGCTGCAAAATATTTAGTAGGTTTTTTCATGCTTTGTGCTGTTATGAAAGAATCTCTCTTATTAATAGGGGAAATTGTATAGCTTTGAAGTGTAAAAATAATTAAGTATTACCAAAATGCTGTAGATTAACCAAAATATAGCCAAAAGCTGTTATTAAAAACTGTTATCAAACTTGCCAAAAAATAGCTATCTACTCCATCCATTTGTTTAGGACAACTGGATAATTTAAAAAATAGTTTTGTCAATTTAAAATAAAAATTGATGATTAATAACTCCTACAATAAAAAGACCTTATATTAAAAGAATAAGAAGGTTGCCTGTGCAGTCTTAACTCAAGCACTTGTGTATACACATAACTGTACAGACTGAAATTACATGATCACATGCTATTTTTTTCCACAGGACCCCTGCCTCACTCAGTGCAAGAGCTGAATGATGCTCAGTGAAAAAGGCAGCTGCTTGTTGTTTTTTTATCCTCAGTGTAGAACATGAGCCCAAGACTCATTTATTTTATATTATCCAAATACCACATGAATAGGGATTTTTCTTCTTTTTATTTTTTTAGATTTGTTTGTGGGGTTCATAAAAAATAATGAATAACCCTGGATGTCAGGAAGAATTTCTTATTCATGTATTAAAGGTCTAGAACTGAAGCACACTTAAGTGGTTCTTTCAGGATGACTCACAAAAACTTGGACAAAAACAATAGTAGAACTCCTGGGTCCTGATCCATTACCTTAATGACTAAATCATTCGTCATTTTCCAGTGCCTCCTGCTGACACTGGTTACTCGTCACAGAAGCACTTCAGTAAAATAGAAGTATAACAGACCCATTTTGTTCAGAATATGCAGTACAACTGCAATCAGTGTAGAAATAGAGAGTGTTTAATGACATGAATGCGAGAGGCAAGGATTTCTTGGGATGATCACTTCTATTAGACCAACTATGTAGAGTTAAACAAGCTTTCAAATGCAAGTAAAGCTGGGAAGGAATGTCTTGAATTCAAAAGCTTGTCTTTATCCCAACTACATTGTTGGTCCAATAAAAGATATCACTCTAACAAATCCTTACTTCTTACATAATTCGGGACCATCACTGCTACAAAATCATTCTTACACTACCCTAATTACATGAACACATACTATCATAATTCACATAGCAAGGACAGGGTTAACAACTTCTGAATGATTCTTTAACTGAGTTTTGCAACATTCATTTTGTCTTAATATTTTTAACAGGAAATGAAAAAATGAAATTCTGCCATGTTCAACTCTTTGATAAGCCTCTCGAATGCTACCCGGAGTAACTAGGAATAACGGCCACAAGTTGACTGAGAGTAGGTTCAGGCTAGACATCAGGAGACACTACTTCACAGTCCAGGCGACTAGGATGTGGAACCAACTTCCAAGGGAAGTGGTGCGAGCTCCTACCCTGGGGGTCTTCAAAAGGAGGCTAGATAATCACCTAGCTGGTGTCATTTTATCCCAGCATTCTTCCCTGCCCACGGCAGGGGGTCGGACTTGATGATGTGCTCAGGTCCCTTCTGACCCTACCAACTATGAAACTAATATTCTGTTCTGCACCCTATGTACATTTAGTAAGGCACAGGAAGTTATGATTTGTTTAGTACACACTTACATATAAGTTATTGAAGGTAACTGGAGTTGTGAACCTTTCTAGATAGTCCGTAATCACCTTTCTATGAAAACTGATAATGCATTCCACTTTATTTTGCACAGTAGAAAAATCTTTAGTCAATCCAGTCTAGAAATATGCCTTCATAGGATTTTTCCTTATAGTATATATACATAGGCTTTGTGTTCTCAGTGGATTTTTTGGAGCCTGTTTATTTTAATGTTTATTGTAACCTGTTGCAAGTGTGTGTAGGGGGGAAGCACTTATTTTTATAACTCAAGCAATTAAAATCAATTTTCTTCTGTCCATTGCTAAACAGCTATGACCTGGAAACTATCGTCTTCCAGATTGCAAGTTTTCATTTTATTTTCAAAATAAAGTGAACCGTTCAAAAAATGTAAATTTTCATTCCATTTATTTCATTTTCAGTCTTTACATATAATTTAACTGCATGTGATAAAGCTTTTAAAAAAAGCAAGAGCTCCCTGCTCTAGTATAAGCATGCCAAATAACAACCTAAAGGTAAAACCCGGTCAGTTAGAAACAACTAAAATGACACTTTTTTAAAGGAAACATATAGAAAAGCTTAAGTATGCAGTTACACATATCACCCATAATACTTCTCCTCTGTAAACAGATTTTCAGCTTTCAGGTATGTGAAAAGGTGGCATAAATGGTAAACCATGGGTTCTTTTGATGGAGGAATCTTTAGGGACACTATAGTCATAGAAGAGTCAGAAACTGGGTATATGTCCTTAGCCAGAGGACAGGACAGCCTGTCTAAGTTCTAGCTAGTACAATGATCCCTATGTTACCTCTTCAATTCGTATAATTTAAAGCCACCTATAGAGCAGCCTCTCCTCTTACGTTCTGCTGATGGGCACTGAGTAGCAGGCCTCACTGGGGACTCATTGCTAAATGACTTCAGTCAACCATGTGACCTCAAGAGTCAATTGCAAACAGAGCTAGCATACGTGCATTGCTTGTGTTTTGCTTAGAATGGAATTAGACAGCAAACGTGCACATATTCTTTTTTTAAAGTTTTTGTTTTTAAGAAAGCTTTGCATATACATTTTTAGTAAATAGACCTTTGACGTACAAGATTCATTCTGAGAATCATCTTTATTCCTTCCATAAATACTCTTTTGTCAAAACATTTTTTTTCATTAACACTATGGAAAGGGGAGGTTTTAACTACTTATGGGAGTGCCTTATATACACACACGCGCGCGCGCACACGCACACACACACACAGATATTTTTAAGGTATATTTTAATATGTATACTAAACATATACCATAAGTAGTGTCTGTGTCTGTGTATAGATATCCTGTTCAGGTAACAGGAAATACCCTGTTCATAGAATCCCAAAAAAATAGGGCTAAACGGTATCTTTGTAGGTCATCTAGTTCAACTCCCTGCCTGAGGCAGGATCATTTCTATCCAAACCATCCCAAGCAAATCCTTGTCTGACCTATTACTAAAACTACACGGGCAATCCTGGCCCACAACCAGAAAGCATAGTAACATCCTTATATGCCATGGGTAAAGCTGTCCTCCTGCTGCATATTTGTATCTATTACTTGTCTGTTTGCAAAAGAATCCTAATAGGATATTTTCCTAAAAGATGTCATGGCATACTAATTTCCTTAGCTAACTAGTCTTCATCATTTCATAGGGTCAGACTCTTAAGCTTAAGTTAGTAGCCTTCTTGCCAATAATAGGAAATGTTTTTAAGGAAACTACTAAAATGTAATTTCTTCACTTTAAAAAATAAGATTTTTCTTCAGATGGAGAACAGTGAGTATTTAACATCAACGTTTTAAAATTAAAAAGATAAGCACTAAATGATAATGTATTACCATATAAATTTCTCTTTTCACTTATTAACCACATGTGATCTTCCAGAGGGTCCTCACTTTTCAGAATTTGTAGTTTAGTGTGTTGTAGTGTTACACGTTGTTTTTCATTTATCTACCTTTCTTTTGTAATGATTCTGTGAGACAATATGAGCTGAAGTTGTGCATTTTAAATTGGCTCTGTAAGGGTGGTCTAATTCATTCTGTATCTTCTTACCATTGTCTTTGAGGTTTAAAAAACCCATGGGGACTAGGGTGTTCCATCACTGTTTTACTGATCATCATGCAAGATAACTTCAGAAAAGAAAAATTACAAATAAACAGCATTCTGTTCTGTCCGTTCATTTAAGGCTACCAGTCAACCAGTGCCACCACCCAATAGCAACCTTTCAGCAACAGGAAACTCCATTGGCTGCTACTATTACAAAGCAGCAATATTTTCTCTACAAAGCCGATAATGTGGTGCCATGTGGAAAACCAGCACCATTTATTATAAAAGAAAACTTTCAGTTTAATTATAAAAATCCTTTAGTTCATTTGTCTCTTTTGTGACTAGAATATATGACATGAAAAGTAATTGCTTTGGTTAATAATGGATAATCTTTTTTAATGTTCTAAAGAATATTTCTGTGCTATATATTTAAGAAATTCAAGGTAGTCTTTGAGAGAAACACTTTTCTACTTCTAGTTAGCAGTTGTATCATACATAAAAACCAATTATATAATGATGAAAGTTTTAAAGAAAAATGCAAATCTCACCATAATGTTTTAAAGGCAGATTTTCTTTAACATCTGTTACTTATATTCTCTTAAAAAAACTAGTGAAAATAGATGCTGTGAAATTCATGCTTCAGACTCACACAGTAAGTTTTTGTATTATGTTCAAATATTTTAGATGTAGCCATAATGTTGTAAACCATTTTAACTTTTAATGCATTTCTATTTTGTCAGAGTAAACACTTCCCTTTTTTGGGTGTCAATGATAATTACAGTCTCAGCGACCTTAGGTGCCGAACAACATTCTATACGGCTCTCACCCGCCTCCTCATGGTAGATCTAGGTAAGAGTCTGCTTAAGATGTTCCTCAGACATCTTGATACCTTTTGTAAGCTTACCAATTTTAGTAACAGAGCTGAAGTAGTTTAAGAATATTTAATGATAGGTTAATGCCATTAAAAAGCTCAGTTAATAAGGAAGATACATTTCATCTCAATGGTATTTATAATACTGCAAATCAGCTTTTGAGGTTTGTGGCTATTTAAATGCAATACTTATTTTTTGTTTGTAACCTTCTGTTATGAGCTCTACAACCAACCTCAGTAGATTTTTCTTTTGCACAGAAGGCCTTTACACACTGTTACTAAGCTAGTTATTTATATGATCAGAGCCTGATCTTGTGATGTGCTGAACCTGTTTGGCTCCAAGTAGCATCAGTGGGTACTCCCAACATGTGGGTTTCAGTGCTTACTTTAGCAAGGATTAATATTACTTTGTATAAATTCTCACTGTATAGGAAGACTTAGCGATTAGATTTTGAGTTAGATTCAGATTATCAGATCATTGAGCAGTTGTGTAACCCTTAGTTGGGGATCCCATAGAACTCAATCATATTTTCTGTATGTGTAAAATTAACCGCATACATTAAGGGATAAGATTCAATAAGGAATTAGGTGCCTAAAAGTTAGGTGTTGGCCCTGAAGTGGAATCCCAAATGCTGAGGTTCAGTATCAAGACTCCTTATATGCTACAAAGAGAGTCAGGCTCCTCAAACTGGGACCCAGAATAACCCAGACAATGACCACGACAATGCCTAAAGCGAGCTGCTAGGAAAAATGGAAGAGTTGTGTATTTGAAATTCCAGTTCTTCTCAGATTTTGGACACCTAGCCAGGTCTGCAGTCAAGTGTCTGTATCCAGTCTGAATGCCTCTTCTTGAAAGTAGGCACCCACATTTCTTTAAAGAACTGAGCAGAACTTACTCTTTTTAAAAGAAAAGACCTTTTTTGTGTAACAGCCTAGCAATTGAAGTGTTTGCCTAAGAAGGTAAAGACCTAGGTTCACTTCTCTCAGTCTTACGGAATCAAACCAACGTCTTTAACCTTCCAGCAACACACCCTACACATCCCTCCTGTTGAAGCTGTGCCTTTGCGTAGAATTAAATTCAAGACTTTGGGCAGAGAGAGAATACAAGAGGGAGAAAGTTTTGGTTGCCTATCACTTAGGGGAGCGCTGTTTAGCTGGAGGCCCAGAGGTTGTATCTGGCCCTGAAGGGCTTAACCTTTGGCCCTTGGTTTTCCAGTCCAGGTGTCACTTACCCAACTGCTCTTGCTGCCAGGAGAGTCCCCTGGCTCCCTCTCTCTCTTTTGGCTTCCAATTTCTGCTCCCACCCATGGGACTGAGAAAGCCCACAATGGGGGGACCTGGGAAATCAGTGCAGGGCAGATGTGCTAGCATGGTACATCAGGAGGGTGTCTGCTGTGCAGTCGGGAGAAGGCACCTGTGCAATGTGGCATAGCATGACACGGCCCAAAAGCATTTGGCCTGCTGGAGTGTGCCGCCTGCATAGAATATCTACTCAGAAGTTTGACAGCCTTAATTTAGGGTATTCACATGGGAGTCATGATGCTTGTGTTCCGGTTTTTAATGGATAATCTGTTTCTGTTTTATCCAACAACTATTTAATGTAAAATCCATAAAGAGTCTGAGGTGCATCCCTTATTGGCAAGGGAAAAAATTTCTTAAGCGCTCTATAGAATTAATTGGGTTCTTATCAAGTAAGAATGACACCTTTTCAGTCAGCTTGTAAGAAGAGATGTCAGCTTTTGATTTAGCAAGAGGTGGTTATATCCTAAGACAAGTAACAATAACCTCAGAACATTTTCTAAAATCTCGTAATATGGTTTCGGGAAAGTAATGAGCTATATCATCAGCTGACCTGGCCTTGGAGTAGTGCCATTCTGGTGTTATAGCCCTGATGGTCCAGGAAATGTACATGATGCAAGAGTTTGGGGAGGGGGGTGTTTATTGTTCCATGAGCAGAATTGAGCAAGAATTTTGACAAGCTTTCAGGCACAAAGCACCATTCTGCAGGTCTTGGATTAATAAAGTCGTAATAGCTATACTAATTTATCAGCCCAGGAGCTGGCCACTATATGCATTCATTTGCAGACATAGTATTCTTTCTCTTAAATATTACTGTACGAAGGTACTTTTCTAGTAAGAATAATGGACTGCTAGTTTTCCTAGGTAGATACCACACTTCTTTACTAAAAATATTTTTTCTGTTGTTGGCATCATCTTCCCTGCTGTTTGTTGTTTTTAGTGTTAGATAGAGATGATGAAAAGAGGAATTAGACATATAAACTGATTTTCAGGCCCCTGCACAAGGGTTTAGGCAACCAACATATATGTGAAATAGGTTCACACTGAAGCTTGTACCTGCACTAGTAAATACACCCACTGCTGATTTAAAAAAAAAAAAAAAAAAAAAAAAAAAAAAAAAAAGGCAGTAATGAATGGAACTGAACTGAGCCTAAACAGTCTAATTGCAAGAAAAGACTAATCCATATTCAGCTTCATTTTGTTTCTAAAAGGTTTCTAAACATAGTGGCTCCTGTTGCAACTTGTAGCTAACCTTTTCCAGTGCCCATTAAGCTGCATGCATTGCTGACATTTATTGAAAACAATAGATACATTTCCTGTATAAATCAGAACCTGCAGCCTCACTAACCTTTTCTATGGGGAGGGGAGAAAAAATAGATGGAATGAGTCCATCTAAGGGCGAAAAATCACGTCTTTAAAGAGAATTTGTGTGAGCAAGGGCCATGCTGCTTGATAGCTCTAGTCCAGTGTGGGCCAACTCTCTCAGCAGGCTTACCAAAAACTAAGCCCTTCTCCCTTACCAAGTATTGCTCCTATCCTCTTCTCCTGCCTGATCTGCGCTGCTTCACTGTCCCTGCCCTATCTGCCTCTGCTGCCTGCTTCTTTCCTAACCTGCCATGTGCCACACAAGAGACTGACTGTGCCACTTGCAGCATGTGTGCCACAGGTTGGCTACCCCTGCTCTATGCAAATGAAACACAGGACTAGGAGAAATGTGACTGCGCAAAAATGAATATAGTGAAATTGAGTTGAGCTTGATTCATCTAGGTTAGCTGCTAGAAGACAGGTTGCAAAACATTAGTTTTCATTCAGAGAGAACTGTTTATATTGCCTGTCATCCTTTTCAGGCTTTATTAAGTAAAATATAATTAGGATTTCTTTATGAAGGTGTTCATACTACTGACTTTTAAAATAATGTACATATAAATAAAATTAGGATAAATGTGGGATTTTTTTTAAAAAATAGGGAGTGTGCATGTTCAAATTGAAGTGTAAAATTCACTGGAAATCTGTCTTAAACAGTACATTTTAAACTGTTTGTATTTAAACCATGTTCTTTGGAGTGATTCAAAAATACAAATCAAATATGGGAAAAATAGCAGTAGATTAATTGGTATTTGCTTCAAAATGCACTTTGGTTTCTGTTCAACAATTTGAACCTTGTTTGAATTTAATTAGACTTTGAATTCTTTATATGCCCCAGGTTGTGTCTAATGAAAATAGGCTTTTTGGCAGTTTGTAATTGTACCATTTTATCACAATGGTCCTTGGCCTGAGATTTCTAAGTAAACTAAATATCTATCTGTGTAAATTATGAAGAAAACTGTTATAGAAATATGAACAAAATATTTTCTTTAAATAGAAGTTTTGAACGATGTTAATGCTGTTTAATAAATCCAATTTTTCTTTTAATTCTGGTTTACCAAAGATTTTACAAACTGCAGTACCAGTCAAAGTGAGTCCAAGTTCATTGATTATAACACCATTATTACAAACCACAGCCTGGTCTACCCAGTAAGATACATTTTAGCATGCACAAATCCACCAAAATATAGTTAATAGATTTCTTTATTTCAAAGTGCATGATGAGGCTATAAATATAGGCAAAGGTAGCTTGGATCATAACAAAAAAGCAATTTGCAGTAGTACTTTGTTCATGGAATAATTTGTTCGTTTTCCAGTTAAAATTAATGTTATCATTTCACTTTCCTTTATTGTGTAAAGATAATGCATGGGTACTTTCTTTTACAGCTTTTTTTTAACTGAAGTAAAATATTTTAGGAATGAAATGTTACTGTTTTGGTTCTTTATCACTGCTTCTTCCTGGCCTATGCAACTGTACTGAACTTTAAAACAAAAAAATGCTGAAGGTACCTTTTCATATTGAAGAACTACTTAGTTTCCACTGAAAAGTGACTTGTATCCCAACCTGTCACACAACCTCTCTACAGAATGGCAAAGTAGAACTTTGTAGGACTCCTCCTACATAGTTCTTTTTGCAAGATTTGGATATTAATTTGTTTGCTCCAAAAGAAATTATAAAAAATAAATAAAGTAGTATCTGAACAATGTGTAAACTATGAAATTAGAAAATAACTTTTAATGAATATAAAAACATAAAGGGAGATTATAGACGTAGATATTTGTATAGCTGTTAAGTAGTTCCTGATGAGTGAGTATTTTTAAAGTTTGCATCATCTCTGACAAATTTAACTTTTTGGAAGTTGGCTTGGTAGAAAAAGGGTTTGATAGGTCATTCCTTTCTCCAGTCACAGCAACAGCTATAGAAGCTGGTAGCACTGCATGGTTCTGTAACTGCCAAGTATTTCCCTCCATAAGACCTTTTTCTTCCTCTTGCTTATGACCGCCAAATTGTTCTAACTGAAGTTTTCTGTCAGATAATTTTAGCCAAAACATTTCTGCCATGTATATAAATGAAGCAAGAGAAAATTTGTTGCATTACCCATGTTAAAACTTCTAATGACTTTTTCGTTAAATTGCTCTAGTGCTTCAATATCATGAAGCAGGAACAAAAAAACTTGGCAAAAGTGTGGCCTTTGTGTCAAGGATGTCTTGCTAGCCTTGAGAAAAAACACCCAGATTTGATAAAGTGATAAACCTTTGAAAAATCTCAGTTTGCAGATTCTCAGTGAAGATTTCTTAGATTTTTCTGGCTAGAATTCTGAGGCATCCATCCTCACTGAGAGTGCTAGATTTCCTCTGTACAGGAGCGGGACAGAAGCTGGCATTAAGGAGCCTCTCTCTTGTGCTTTCTGTGACCTTGCTAATTTCCAGGCACTAGGATGGAGGAATCCATCTTTCCCAAGTCAGAGGGAACAGGAGGTGTGAGGAGGAAAAGAGTCTGATGACATTTGGAAGAAGGTGGGGAGAAAGACTGTTACGGTCACTAGCTGAGAAAGGTGGCTAGAGTTGGTAGGGAACAGAAGGCTGGACCTGGGCGATATGGAAAGGAAAGGGAGGCTGGGACTGGGAGATGGGCAAGAGTTTAGGACTGAGAGCTGGGGTGAGAGAAGACTGGGAACATGCAAAACTGGGTGCCAGAAGGCTGAAGAAGATGGAACCATTGAGAAGAAAGGAAAAGCAATTAGGGTTTGGACTGACAAAAGACACTAGGATTAGAATGGGAATAGGGGTAGGAGAGAGGACAGGAGTCTATGCTGACAAGAAACTGGGCTGTGGGAAGGTAACTGAAACTGGACTGGTTTAGCAACAAGTGGCTGGGGCAATAGAGTCTAAGACTGGATTACTAACCTGGAAGAGAGTAGATTAGGAACAAGTAGTAGGTCAGGGAACAGACAGGTCGGAGTCAAGAACAGGTTGGTAGGCATAGATGAGAAAGGGTCAAACCCTTGGGGGTAACAGACAGAAGAATAGCAGTGGTACTTTCAGAGCCTGGTCTGGAACCCAAATTCCCCAACTTTCACCCAGCTCCTTACAGTTATCAAGTATCTGTGAAAGGTGCTGGCAACGTGGCTCATCCCCTTCAGTGTTGGTCCACATGGAAGATCACAGCTTACTCTTGCCACAAGTTATTCCCATTAGCTCAAAAGGGAGTGGTCTGGGAGGGGATCTAAAAATTTCAGTGCTGATGATGGTCCAGTGGATATCAGTACAAAGCCATGTGAAAAGTGTCTTTATTCATTTTGCTTTTTTAGAAACCTAGGAAATCAAGAACAAAATCCTGTATTAAAAGAACACGGTTAAGGTTACAAATACAAGCTTACAAAATGTTGGAAATGCTACAATTCAGATGGCGCAATTAGAATTTCCTTTGTTTTGTGCACATGAATCATGATGATAGTCTTCATTTATATGATCAAATACAGTGTTTTAGATATGATTCCTGCCTTATTCATTGCAAAAGATGGATGGTCTCACTTCATGAGTAGCTTTAGTATTTTTTTTTCTATTCATTATTCATCCTGTGAGTCCATGTTTTACTTTCTTTGTACACTATTTAAACTCTGCTCTGAAGGCAGAATTATTAAATTTCTCCTGAACTTTTCTCCTGAGCTTATCAGACCCGAGTGCTTCACAGATGATAATTGATTTAGCTTCATGACATATCTCTGCAGTGAGGGACTATAATTATCCCCATTTTACAGACGGAGAGCTGAGACACAGATAATAAAATGAAAAGTTTCCACTAATTGTGTGCCAAGTTTTGAGACAACTTAAGCCTGATTTTTTCAAGTACTAAGTACTTTGTCAAAGCACAACTTCACCTGAGTTAACATTGCAACTCAGTGTGCTCAGCATACTAAGCAAATCAAACCTCAAGATATCAAGTCAGGCACCTGGGAAATGAGGGACACACAGTTAGTGAAAACCTGTGAAAAGTTTGGTTTAAGTGACTTGTCCAGCATCACATAGGAACTCTTTGACAGGTAAAATAAGGCATAAAAGTCAGTTCTCCCCAACATCATTTGGTGGCCTAACCTTGAAGCTGACCTCTTTTTCCCTGCCTTGTTGTCTATGCACCTTCCAACTTGTGTAACAAATCAGGCAGGAATCCTACAAACAGAAATCATCTTTACTATTCAGCCCTGATTTTGTCCTCATCATGTTCATGAAAATGAGGCAGGGGCTATATGGACTAAATACTGTGTGATTGTGTCATTTTTTAGACATATGCTCATACACAGAAGGTTTGCAAGTGTTTGCACAGGCAACCTTTATACTAACTTTTCTAACTGTAAAGTCTTGACTTGCCAGTTTTTATAATATTCCTTTAGTATATTTGTAATACGTGAAAGGAATACAAATAAATAAGGTGTGTTTGTTATACATAGGTGTGCATACACACTACTAGATTGGTAAGAAGAATAGAATTATGAAAGGGGGAAAAGAGAGTAGTCTCAATTTCAAGTTATTTGCAGTAAATAACTTGTCTGTATTTTTTTATTCAATCTGTGCACCTCAGTGAAAATATTTCAAAACTAAGGGCCTGTTCCTTTTGCTCTTAGCTAAAGCTGCCCTTCACTAAAGGTCAGTGGGGGTCTTGACCTTTAAAGGTGTATAGGATTGGGTACTGTCCTGCCAAATGGCAGTGTGAATATGATGTGATGCTCTGTTGTTTTTTTTTTCCTCCATAGGTGAAGATGAGGATGAGTTTGAAAATTTCATGCTCCCCCTCACAGTTTCATTTGAAACTCTAACTCAGATATTCAACAATAGTTTTAAACAAGAGGCGGCAAAGGTAGGTCATTTCATTTTTAAGGAAAGAAAATATTTATTGGTAAAATAAGTTAATTGTGATGAAAATATTTTGCAACAGATTGACTTTTGTATTTTCATCTTTGCCACATACATTTGTACATATGTGTATAATTTCCTTTATAGTATTGAGCTAAAAAGTCTATATTTGATTTCCCATAAAAGTAAACGACTTTATAAATGCGCAATTAAGCCATTGGGATTTCGTAAGTGTTTTGCAGATAAAGTGATCTCATTTGAGTCACATATACACTCAGTGGGACAGATATGCCTCTTGTGGTATTTGGTGTGTTTCATATATGAGTCCTTCTTTCTGTGTGTGTATCTTTTTATATGCATTAACATATTTATTTGGGAGGATAAGGAGAGATGCTGTAATACACTTGATAAAACACTGCATCTTTAAAGTATTTTTTCAAACAAGAATTTAATATATAAATCAAGACTTTATTAAATGGCTGGGCATATATGTATAAATAGGAACTGGTCTTGAAGTATTGCATCCTTAAACTGAACAAAGTGATTAGGATAACTGATAGCTAAATAAGGTTTTTATGTGCCTGTGGGAGCCATATTAGGATTGATTTGACAAGTCAGTTCAGCTGTGGCAACAGTCATAATATCTAACACAACATTATGTTTTATTAGTAAAATCCTTAAGTGTAGCAAGCTGTTTGTGTCAAAACAACAGTATATTTTAGGCAAGAAAAAGACTTGCTAAATGGAAACAGCATCATCAGAAATGATAATACATTAGGGCAGTATTGCATTAAATAGATTCCTTTCTCCTATTATGAAAAAACAGTTAACAATGCACTCTAGAGTGCCCGTTCCAGATACATACTATAATCTTCTAAAAGCTCTAACAGTAATTTTTAATTTACTATTTTAAAATATGATGGAAACCTTCACGCTGCATCACCATCATTTGCCCTCTTTCTTTCCTGGAAATATAAACAGTAATCAGAAGTGCTATCTGTCATACATCTTTGCATTACTAGTGGATATATAACTCATAATACCCACTTGGATTAAATCAATATTTTAGAAAATATGAATGGAATGGAAAATCACATAATCTAGATTCTACATTTATTGTTGCCTTAAGTATTTAATTTGTAAACTGCTTTTCATATATTGAATAAATATAATTATGATGAGTTCTTTTGCTTTTTTTTGTTACTGATTTTAAAAATTAGAACTAAGACATCATCCTTTTAGAACCATTCTGTTTGTAAGAAATTGCATTTATCTTATTTGAGGATACTGTCGTATTAAGACAATTTTGATGCAGTTATGTCTAGTTTGATAGAAACCACCTTACTGGAGACATTTTAATGGAGTGGAGTCATATATCCCTAAACTAGCAAGTTCTTAACAACCCTGGAAAGTGACTGCTTGATTACACTTTAACGGTATTTGCAAATAAAATCACAAGTAATTAAGGGGAAATCTCCAGGCTTTTGAGCAAGTTTGATGCATGATAACTGCCTGATTCAGCTTCATCTAGAGTAATGCTGTGTAGACAAGAGCTACTGAGATCAATAGCAACATAATGATAGTGGCAGAATTAAGTGAGTAACCTGAGAACTGTGTCTTCAAAATGCATGCAGCTGCCACAAGCCAGGGCCACACAGTGCACTCCGTGCTTCCGTCCTAAATGTTCATCAAAAGACGCCCTGCAGGAAAATGGAGTTAGATGCTCTTTATTGCTGATCGTGTCTCTTGCCACATTTATCAGGGAAATTGGATTAGCAGTTGGCAGCTGCAGGTAGACAAGGTTCTGCAGTGATTAAATATGCAGCTTGGCTGCATTTGTTGTGACAGACCTTTAGTAAATTCTACTGTAAGCACCATCTGTCTAATTTGTATAAAGAAAACTTGGTGCTTTGAGCTACCAATAAAGAACTAAATCTGTTGCTTTATTGTAAACAAAACTTTTGCTCTAAATTCTTTTAAACATAATTTATTAGGTTGAAGCTATTTTTCTATCATGATGAATAAATAATACATGCAAAAGTGCTTTCAGGTACTTTTTTTCCCCCAAGTACTGGGGAAAAAACAGTTCAGTTTTGTGCTTCAATAAAATGTTTAGCATTCTGATCTGCAGGGAAGTGACACGGTTAAAATATTACTATGAAAATGGCCCACAACTGCCAAATTCATTTAATTTGTGGTTTTTACTAAGAGTTTCTAACGGGCTGTTTTTATATATTTTTAAATTCACAACTAAAAAATAACTACAGCCAGAGAGCTGTTGTTGAAATACATTTGTAGTTGACCAAGCTATATGTAAAACTTATGCCTGGGTTTCTTTTCTGGTAAAATGTAATATAATTGAAGAAGACCTAATATGTGTCATCAGCTTTTTTCCACTTTGAAATGAATAGGAAAAAATCATAGTATTAAAACAATTGCCAATTCTTCCCTTCAGATTCTCTGGATTTGCCCTGACAATCCAGTTAAGTAATATATTGACTAGCTAGCCTGAACCTCAGTGGTACTTTTATGTTAGTTATGACATCATCAGTTTGAATAGAAATGAATGAAAAAAATGTATCTGAGGGAAAAGAGCAGTTAAATAGCAACATGCTATCTTTAGCTGGTTTGTAGAAACTCCATGCTGTTAAATTATTTAAAATCCTTGATTTTCAGCTTGCACACATTAAAAGTTTTCACACTAAGTGCCAAATGTTGCAAACAGCACTTTAACAGAATGATTTTGCTTTGATCCCTGTAGCAGTTCCTGAATAATTTATCACAGGTTATTGCCTTAATTCTGGAGAGGGATAGAGCAATAAAGGCAGATGAAAACACTCCAGTTGAAACACCTTGGGGCCTGCTCATTCCTCTGACACGGCTCTTTTGTTGGAACTATTTAGAGGTTATTAAGACGTGTCTCCAGAATTAAGAGTATGCTGTAAGGATGAAGACAGCCATCTTAATTCTAAAGACAAAGCGCAATGACCCTTCACCTTTTTTTTCTTTGTTGTTATTATATAGTAGAATTATGAGGGTAATATTATAGCTGCACCCAATAGTGCTACTATAGTTAAGGGTCTGTCAGACTTTCCATTACAAAACCTGTTTTGGGGGTGGGTGGTGTGAGTGGTATCTCGTCTGTTTCAAATTGCATTAGTCAGAAACTTGGCACACATTGTCAAGTCACAATTCAAGTTTAGGGTTTCTTCCTATGGATGCTTAAATGCTCACTTCTTTTCCAGTAGCAATGCATGAAATATTTTTTTAAGATTAGACAATAACGTCATAATAGAAAAAGCAGTCTTTTAAATTCATTAAAAGTAGACTTAGCCCCTTTTGCTTTACAGATGAAGAATATTTTGAAACCAATCAGTTAGGGCGAAAATTGGTATAAAAATTAATTTAAGTGAAAGCCTGCATTGTCCCTCTCTACCATCTACTCACCATGCCTCTTGGATACACTGTTCTTTACTTATCCTACATCCTTATGCAGTGTTGCTGAGTACTGCTAAACAGCTGTGATTTTGCACCCCAGAGATGACTGCATTCCAGTGGTGAACAAAATGTTCCCTTTGTTAGATTACTTTGATTACTATGTTAAATTTGTGAGATACTCTTCAGTTCTTAAGACTGAAACCCCCAAAGGTGATACCTAAATGTATCATGTTATTTACTATTTTTCTTAACAATTTTTATAAACACAAATACCTTTGAAAATTCATGGTCTAACAAGTCTATTCTGCCACCTCTTGGAGAGGTCAGTGAGCAAAGGATTCAGAGTGAACCCTAACCTCATTGAAGTTAGAAAAGTGTTGTCAATAACTATGATGCCAGGGTTTTACCTGGGGTCTCTGTGTATCTAGCATTGATTTAGCAGTTCTGGCCCCAGTGTCTGTAAGCCATATTGTCATTTTATAAAGTAAATTTCCAATGAGGAAGTATTAAACCAGTGAGTTCAGTATGACATATGTACTAAAATATGTAATTTTATAGATCACAATTTATATATAAAGAATAGTATGCTTAATAGTGGTTGCTGTTTAGATAATAATAGTTTTGGAAAGGATTGTTATAAAGCTAAAGAAATTCATTTTCTTTTCTCAGTTGCTCTTTGATACAGAAATTCAAATGGCAGATGAAATTACCTTGTTCTTGCAAGGTTCTCTAGTACAAGGCAGTGTCATCACCTAAACTGTGTTGCACACGTACATTTAGGAGTAGCTTCTAAGTCTCACTACAAAGACATGTTCTCTCCAAGGAACGTTTTCCAAAAACCAGTTACTTTTACAGACGAATGGATAAGAACTTTAGGGTTGGTGAGTGGATTAGTTATGTGTATGTAGGCCCTATCCACCACCTGACCATGGGTTATTTCTTTCTGTGCATGTTCTACTGTATATAAGAAAGGCAAGTTCTAGGTGGTAAACATCTTCCACATCTTTCATTGGATTCCTAGTTTTCCTCGTTCTCTAGAAAAGTCTTAGCTTTTTCTTTCTGTAGCTAGAATGGAGAAAAAGCCAAGACTGTATTTGAATCCTCCTATTAAATCCTAACTTGAATTTGTTGTCACATATTATGGTACAGACAAATACAGCAATTTTATTGATATCAGAGGATACAGATACAAGTTTTAGAATGCAACTACTATCTCTATTTGCCTGTAGCAATACAACTATAGCAAAGCACCACTAATTATAACCTTTCTTAATTCAGAGTCAGTGTTAGGGCAATGTAGCTAACTTGTGTTGCTACAGGATCATTCAAATATAACAGGTAGATCATAACAACTGATGCATATGCTCCTGAGCAGCAGCTCCATCCATCTTTTTAAAGCAGCTAAAAAAAAAAGGATGTTAGTCCATATGTGTCAGTAACACAGTTTAATAGGAAACGAAAAATTATATGAAACTTCTCAAATTCTTCCTATTTAGAGCACAAATCTGCTAAATATTTATTTTCCACATTGTGGAACAAATGTATCAATTGCTAAATTGTAGATCAATGCAATGGTTAGGTCCCAGTCTTCTATGGGTTGATTGTTTCCTGGCAGGTGATCTCTATTATTAAAATTTGTCAGAGTTCAGGGCACTGAGAATCTTGCAAGGTCAGACCATTTCCCCAACTCCAAGGAAATCCAGCTGTTAGGGTGCTCATACCAACAAGTTACCAGTTTTTTGCAAAGAATCCAGTTTACCGTCCAATAAATATGCACAACTCCTACTGAAGTTGATGGGGTTACTGTATCTGTATTTGGAAGGAGAACTGAGCACTTGCATGAGATCCTAGTTTGACTCCTGAATATAATCTGCTGCTCTCCATTTAGTTAGTCTGAGGGAGTTTCAGCTGATATGTGAACCTTGTCTTTTGTAATTCTTCACTTATAAATATTTTAACCTTGTCACCAAATACAGTAGTCTTGAAGATGTATTTTGATATCTAGCTTTTTAAAGAAAGAAGAAAAGGCTAAAGCATTAATCTTCCCTCCTGATTCCTCTATATGCTTCAACAGTTTAGCCAATCCCTGGAGTTCTTAGGTATTTCATAATGAAAAAGGAATATAAACCACATCTATAATCCATAACTAATATTAATATGACATATTTATGTTATTCAGTAGTCAAGTAAACAAAACATAATTTATCAATGAAGTATTCTGTACATTGAAAACAAATATTTCATTCACTTAAAACTGTCAGTGAGGATTATCTACCTGGAAAATTTCATCAGCTTTTGAGTTGTTGCATCTTCCTTAAAAAACTTTAAATCTTTTGACAGAAAAAATAATGTATATTTTCACTCTTACACAATTAATTAAAATGGGGGTGCACAGAGTTTGTATCAACTTCCAAAAATTCATTTTTTGGCTGAAAACTTAGAAAATGACATCCCAAAAGAGTTTTTCAAAAAGAGATAAGCATGTGAAAATGAAAAATAATAGAAATTTTAATATAATCTTAACTGTAGGTTTAGTATGAGGATCAATTAGTCTTATACCTCACATAAAATACTGCAAGCTTTCATTAACATTTTATTACTGATATCATTCCTTTAAAAGTACTTCTTGTACTAATAGTTTAAACTTAAATGTGTAGCATCCACACCTTATGTTTCTGAGCTTGATTTATTCAAAGGTACAGAATACATTGAGTAACGCGAAACATTCCCTAAGCATTTTGTTATGTTGCTGCCATAAACTTGGGCAGATTTTGTTTGTTTAAAAAATCTATGGTTTTCTATAGAGAAGGATTTGAAAGAGACATTTAAACTAATGAATCAAAATCAGATATGTGCTCATTATTGGCTGATTATTACTCCATCTGCTCTGCGCTAACGTGAAAATCAATTACTGTGTCTCTTTCCTACTGACAGCGTATGTTGATCGGGCTGGCAAGAGATCTTCGAGGGATTGCCTTTGCACTGAACACAAAGACCAGCTACACCATGCTGTTTGACTGGATGTATCCTTATTACGCTATGACAATACCAGCTCTGTGCACAGAGGGATACCAGGCCCCTTGCATTAGTTTAATAGTATGGCACAGTGGGGAAGAGGAAACAAAGCTAAATGAACTAATGTGTAATCAGCTAAAATTACAGCACAATGGCAACCATGCAGTTAACTGAGACAGACCATAGAGAGGTCACTTTTTGTTGGTCATACTAATACCCTAGAAAATATCCAAGTGGTTCCCAGTCCCATTGCTAGCTCAAGATGTTTTGTTAAATATATGGTGACTTTAATGCAAAAGAATAATGCACTTAAAGTTGCTTTAAAAATTATCTGAAATACTGATGCAAAATTTTGCTTTACAAGTGTTAATCTGGGGGGGATTCCTATATCTAGCTTAATCTGGTCTTTCACTGAGCCAATAACTATGTTTTATATCTATTTTATTAATATGATGACATTTTTCTTGTTCAGAAAATAAGGATCTATCTAGATTTACAGATTCCCTCAATAAGTAAACTCCAAAACTACTGTGCTTGCTTTAATATCTTGGTCTTCTTTCTTAATGATATGCTAATGTATCTATTAATACCTAATGGTATTCCGTTAATACAAAAGGAACTCTTTGGTATTTTTAATAAGTGCACAAGTCATGAATTCTGTCACATCATTCATAATTAAACTCATTGTTTTAATATATAATGGGAAAGGTATAATATAGATTGAGTCAGATCTGCTAATACTCTGCATGATTTCTATGAATTTGTTTATAGTATACATAAAATAACATACAAGTTCTGTTTTACTAGGAACAAGGGTTATTTCGACAAATGCTAAAAGATACTTATACAAAAAATATCTATCTGGAGAGCATTCTGTCATTATAGAATTATGATTAGGAATATAATGTAAAGGAGGAAAGGGCAGGAATGTTGAGCCATTTACAGTCTTAACTATAGCCTTGTGCAATCAATAGATAGACTCTTGCTGAGAACTGGAAAGGCCTTCTTGAAAACTTTGCAGGTCTGCAAGTGACTACTTAGATTCAGGCCCCACTTGCATGGGACTACTTACAGACCTGAAACAATAAGGGAAAAGACTATTTAATTTCAGTGATACAGGAATTGCAAAGCTGTCTCTGGGACCAAGGGTGGTAGAAGACGTACTACAGGTAACTGATTTCCTTTCCACTGTGCAAGGAGCAGATCAATTTATGGGAAGTCCACTCCATACTAGTCTTGAAGGTACAGAACACACAACTGTCTCCATTGTTCCTAATGTCTTGAAAACATATGAAGTCATTTATAAACTGTTTTTAATCAACCATTGACTTTAGATTTGGACTGCCAAGAGACCGCCCATTAATCTGCATTAACAATGAAATAAAAGACTGATATATATACCCTTTGAGTGAAACTTATCTGTCCAAGGCCTTTTTGAGTCCCATCATTTTCTATATATTTTCTCTTTTCATACATACCTGTACACAGATACAGATCATCCTTCCCCTGCCACCTTTGATTTGATGAGCAAGTGCCTGCTTCTGCTCAGTGCATTTAATCTTTCCTGGGATGCAGCCCCCTGCTCCTATTGATTGAAGTATTATAGCAAAGTAAGCTGTGATCATATAAGCTCTTATTTGCTGTACATAAAGAATAAAACTAAAATTGGTAAATTGAAAGGAGTGGGGGAGGCTTTTATTTACATTGTAAGATGATAATTAACATTGTAGGATGTAAATTAATATCTGTTACTGGGTGCCTATATACGTGAAGGGAGACTGCTCCAACACTCTGTAATCACAGCGTGTCAGAGCCGACTCGATTAATCGTGCGATAATTACCATGCCCCAGCAGATTCCAGCATCACATGTATCAGGATCCCCACACTGAAAAATGGCAGTGGGGGCACTTTACCTAAAGCTCATTTGACATGCTTTAGTTAAGGCGGGCGCCCCACCACCATTTTTCAGCATGGGGACTCTGATACATGGGTTGCTGATACATGTGACATTCCCTCCCTCCCCCCGGCCCAGCCCATCACTGTTTCTGTTTTATGGACTGCAACCTGTTTTAACTGAAACTTGCCCAAAATTATCTAACATTTTCAGCATTATTTAATTTGAAGAAAAATAGGTTTTCCTTTTTCTTTTATCCAAACAATTATTTTTAGCCCTTCTGGTTCAGCACTGGAAAGTGGAGTTGACTATAAACAAAAGTGAAACTGACATAAATGATTTTCACTGCCTTAGGTAGGGAGAAATGCAGCAAGTAAACAAGCAGTATAAATCAACAAGAAAAAAATGTTCATTTTTAATAATAGAAGATGGTGTCAAGTAAGGTAGATAAAAGGTAGTTGTCTGGAAATAACAATTTTAAATCAGTGCTATTAGAGTACACTGGACAAAATAATTCTTTATCTCAAATGCTGGCTGGAAATGTTTTGGTTCTAATCTCTTCCCATTGATTTCAAGAAAACTTCACATGGTGTGAACCTCTCAAGATCAGATCTTTAATTTTTAAATTGTTCAACTTGTAGGTCCTAGTTTTCCTTATTTCTTATTGAAATAAGTATCTGGATTTTAAGTTTTGTCCAGTAGATGGCAAAAATGAGTAGAAATAAATTCTTGTAAATCCTTTGATTCTGTTTTTGATCTAGAAACCGTTATGTTCTGTATTTTCACAAAGAAGTTAAGGTTATTAGGGTCATGGTTTGGAGGTGAATTGTCAGGTATGCTAAAGCTGTGTTAGATTGCCAAATAGGGCTGTTTTGTAGTAGGCTTGCTTATACTAATTGAGTTTCTCTAGCAAATCAGGCTCCTTGGAAAAAGGCCAAAGGCTTTTCATAATTGTATTGACAAGAAAATGAATATGATAAATGGTGTTCATTCAGTGAAGACAAGATTTATAGTTTTCCTCTGGGCAAGGGATGAAGAGCAAATATTTATAATAATAGTAAAATTTGTTTAAAAGTTGTATTATCTGATCTCTCAAAAGGCTTTATTAAAATATTTCCAAATATTTTTAAGTAGTTTCAGGTGGAAAAGTGCAGGATCTTCCCAGAGTATTCCATTAATGAAAGATGAATAAGGAGATAATACAAAAAATCCTGGATATGAAAGTCATTTATTCTTCCTGAAATATTGATATGTCAACCTGTCAATGATGATTCTAGTATTACTACAGCTACAATATTATAGCTTTGGAAAGTTTATTTGCCTTTTATGTTCAGGAAATGCGGTCTGTGTAATTTGTAGGGCAGGTCTGAACAAGCAAGTATAACTTCATATAAAACTGCCATTTTAAGTGAAATCAGAATCCATTTTTATTAATTAGTGTTATTCCACTGATAAAATAATGTTGTGTTTTGATATTTATTTCAAGGATACTTTTAAAAAATGTAAATATGTTGTCTGTGTTTCTGCAAACTGATACCAGCCTAAAGTTTAATGCCCATGATCTTGCAGTCAGTTACATCTGTGAAGATCCAGGACCATAACCAGTTATCTCTTAACTCTCTGTTGTTGTCTTAAAATTGGATGGGAAGACCCCTGGTAAATTTTCACCTATCCCTGCCAATTGGCAAAAAGTTTTGAAGCCTGAAAACAGGAATGTTGCAGTAAGAAAATACCTAGACAGACATCAGTTGCCTTGGTAGGCTGAGAGTGGGCTTTATTTAGCTAACTAAATGTAGCACGATTCTGCAGAGGAAAAGAGGTGTTGTGTGGTTTTATTTTCAAAAAGGTAGTCTATTGTTGAAGTTTTCTGTCTAGTTATTTCACAAAATCCCAATCCACTCTATTAGTTTTATGTTTAAAAATGTACTTCATCAGGCTTTAGCAGGTATGGAACACGTTTTCTTAAAATTACAGTTCTAAAAGCATTTGAAGATTCTTCTGCATCTTTTAAAAATATTCCATTTACAGGAGCATGTGACACTTAGGCATTAGTCAAGCATGCTTGTCCAAGGGTAGTTTGTTTTCAAGGTATTATATTTTAGTGCAGGGATAGGCAAGCCCCGGCATGCATGCCAGAGCGTGGCCCACATAAGCATTTTGCTTCACACATGTGCCTCAAGGCAGATGGCAGGGGATCTGCAAGGGGCCTGATCCTTGTTGCGGCAGTGCAGCCCCAGCCCCTTCCCTGCCATCTGACTCAAGGCTTGTATGCACCCGCTGCTGGCTGCAACCCAGTGCAGCTACTTGAAACTTCCCTGCTTCCTGCTGTGAGAAGCCTGAGCTCTGTGGCAGGTGGCAAGGGCCTGCCCAGAGTCTGGGCCAGCTGTGGTTGGCAGCCAGGAGGCTGCAAGTGGCTGTACCAGGGTCCACAGAGCCCCAGCCCAGCTCACTGCTGGCAGCGGGTGCACGCACATCTTGGGGTTGACAGCAGGGAAGGTGCCAGGGCTTCACCACCACAGCAAGAATCGGGCCCCTTGCAGCTTCCCCATTGTTTATGCCTGGCACACCAACATTTTAGAAGTTGAGGTTGCAGATTTTTTGGCACTCTGCCCAAAAACATTGCCAAACCCTGTTGTAGTATGTTTTTCAAATGATTAATAAGTGTATTACCAAAATTGCATGCGTGTCTCAGGGTTGACAGCAGGGAAGATGCCAGGGCTGCACTGCCACAACAAGGATTGGGCCCCTTGTGGCTCTCCCGCTATCTGCCCCTGGTATGCCAACATATTACAAGTTGAGGTTGCAGGTGGTTTTGGCACTGCGCCCAAAAACATTGCCGACCCTGGCCATAGATAGTTAATATTACAAAGGGCATTTATCGAGCTAGAGCACTAAAACTAAAATATATTTCTACAATGTAAAATATAGTTCTAAAAACTTTATTAGTAATCTTAATTTGCAGTTTAAATTCCATGTTTGAAGATAGACTAGTCAATTTCACTTCACAAATTAGCTGAATTCTGCATTTTTCAGTGTTGAGAATTTGAAAAAAAAACACAACATAAAAGCTGTTTTCTTTGTAACTTTTAAAAATAAAATTTGGAAGCATTTTG